TAATACACCCAAAAGGTTTTTTTTTTTTTTTTTAGTGTACCTAATGTGCAGGTTTTTCATCTGTGGGAGGGAACTAGAGTAAAAACTCCTCACAGAAAGACCTCAGGTCTGAACTGGGGAATGAACCCAGGATCTGCTTGCTGTCAGGTGTCAGTGCTAACCACCGAACTAACTAAACCTAGTTAGTGATGAGTCTGCACATTTTTTACATCTCTATCTGCCTACCTGATCCACACTGAGCAGTAGTGAATGGTTTATGCATCTATTAAACACGCCACCTCTTTCAGTCAACTGTCTACTGACAGGTTTAGCCAGACTAGTGACCTCATCGTACATACGAAAAAATAAAAGAAAAATTAAAAATAAATGAACAAATAATGAATAAAATATAAAAAGTATCTAGAAACTTTGAAAACATCAGCAAAATGTCTGAGTGCTCCCAGCAGCCCAGCTAATTAAGGCTCCAAATCTTGACTTTTGTGACTCTGAAGGATGAAATAGTGTCTTTTCTCTACAAATTACACAATCTCTGCCTAATTCTAGTTTAACAGGAATAGTTGGTGTTGACATCAGTATAGTAACAGAACCATTCCTAAAACAGCAGTTGTAGTCAGAGGTATTATTTTTGTAGCATGATTTTTAATCAGAATGAATTCATTGAAAATAAGGTTATTTGATTTTGTTTCCCCARCTTTTCTGAATCCTGTTTATGTCATACATGCTTGACTACACCATGATGGAGGCAAGCTTRGACTGAATGTATCTCAAAGAGCTTACCCACTTTCACCTGTTTAAGATGATTTGCTTACACAAAAATACGATGGCCTGTCACGGCTGGTCTGTTTGCTAAAGACAAAAAGGTAACACATTATAATAACTACACCTTATTTAGCCTTAATTAATTATTAATAAAGGGTTACTTAACCTTGAAAACATCACTAAGGATAAATCAGACTTAATAAGCTATGAATTAACACATTTATTAATGTTTTACCCATAAAGGCTTATTACTTCTATAACCAACATACTCATTGTTTACAAATGCTTGACAAATCAAGAATTAACTATTCTATATGCTGTGTATGTAAATGCTCATATAAATGTATATTCACACCTTGTGTTAGACATGTATTATTGCTTAGAGAATGTTTGAATTGACTATCTGCTAACCCTGCAGTGCATCAATTGTTAAGTCTGAACCATCCTTAATTAATGACGTTTTCAAGGTTAAGTAACCCTTTATTAATAATTATTAAGGCCAAATAAGGTGTAGGTATTATAATGTGTTACTGAATTTATTAGAAAGCATCTTCACTTTAGAAGGTTCACAAAAATACTTAGTTACCTACTAGTAACTTTCTTAATACTGATGCACTGCAGGATTAATAGATAGTCAATTCAAATGTCTCTAACCATTTATACAAATCTAACAAACCGAGTGAAAGTATATTTACATGAGTATTTACATACATATACACAGTATATAGAATAGTTAATTAATGTGTTATTAAGTATGAAGAAACAATGAGTAGAATAGGCTTATTTTGGAAGTAATTAGCATTTATTGGTAAAATACGAACAAATGTGATAATTTATAGCTAATTAAGTATAAATCATCCTTAATTAATGATGTTTGCTAGGTTAACCAATCATTTATACATGATTAGGTAAGGCTAAATGAGGTGTAGCTATTACGAAGTATTACCATTCAGTCATTGCGTGATGAAATACCTGGTTTTAATGTTAAAGCTACTGATTTGACTTTAATCTGGCTTTTCTCTGTGCTGTGCTCTTTGCAGGTCAAAGTATGTCATCCACAACTCCCAACAAAATTCTACAACCTCTTCTGGTCACTGTTGTCATTCTGGGGTGTTTTATGACCATCTTTTTTACGTATTTTAAGCCGTCCAACTACTACTGGTTAAATGGTCAGTCAACAGTTTCACCACATCAAGTCAAAAGCTCCATCTCCACAACAAAAAATGAAAGTGTGATCACTGTACTGGTCTGGCTTTGGCCCTTTGGAGCCAGGTTTGCGTTGGATGTCTGTAGCTCCAAGTACAACACTGAAGGCTGCTTCATCACAGCAGACAGAAACCTCTATAAAAAATCAGACGCAGTTGTTTTTCATCACAGAGACATCCATGGAGACTTGTCCAACTTGCCGTCTCAGCAACGACCATCGTTCCAGAAGTGGATCTGGTTGAACTTAGAGTCGCCCACACATTCGCCACTGCTGCCTGGGCTCAACACCTTGTTCAACCTGACTCTCAATTACCGTCAGGATTCTGACATTAAAGCAACTTATGGGCTCATTGTACCAGCAGAAACTGAGGAAGACTTTGTTCCACCTAAAAAAGACAAACTGGTCTGCTGGATTGTAAGCAACTGGAGCCCCAATCATGCACGGATTAAATATTACAATGAGCTTAAAAATCATATTCAGATCCAGTTATATGGACGAGCATTTAGGAGGTACCTTTCCAATGAAGACTACGCACCCATTGTGAGCAGCTGTAAATTCTATTTGTCTTTTGAGAACTCTATACATGTAGACTACATTACTGAAAAGTTTTACAAGCCCCTGTCTTTGGGCACGGTACCAGTGGCTCTTGGCACTACCAGGCAAAACTACGAAAACTTCATTCAAGGAGATGCCTTCATTCATGTGGATGACTTCTCTTCCCCTAAGGAGCTGGCAGAGTATCTGCTGTTTATGGACAAGACTCAGGACATGTACTTGAGATTCTTTAAGTGGAGGCGACACTTTAAATCATATCCGTACGATTCCTGGGCAGAGCGGATGTGCCATGTTTGTGTTTATTTGAAATTGCACAAGGAGTACAAGTCAATCAATAACTTAAACAAGTGGTACTGGGGCTGATAATGGTCAGAGGAGTGGGGTAGAAACTACCTTTCATTGAATAAACCAGACATAAAAAAGAGGCTCTATGAAAAATGATTCAAGATGCAGTTAAGATCTTCTTTTATAAGTTAGCATTACGTTATGTAAGAGTTCAAAAGAGGCTAGATTTGTTTTTATTCCATCTTCAATGTAAACATATTTAGTGTTGGACAAAATTATCACAAGTTGGCATAAGTTATCTAAAACATTATTGTATGACAAGGCCTTTAGGATCCAAAAAAAAAAAAAAAAAAAAAAAAATAAAGAGGCAGAATAAATTAAAATCTGATTTTTTTTTAACCATGTATGTGTCAAACTACATTGGGTTCCTTGTGGATGATGAGACAATGCAGTGGAGTGTAACAAGAACAACTAAACATTTCAAGATGGGGATTACAATAAAGGTTAACTTTCTTTCTTTCTTTCTTTCTCTTTCTTTCTTTCTTTCTTTCTTTCTTTCTTTCTTTCTTTCTTTCTTTCTTTCTTTCTTTCTTTCTCTTTCTTTCTTTCTTTCTTTCTTTCTTTCTTTCTTTCTTTCTTTCTTTCTAAATGCAGTTTACAATCTGTACATCATGTTACTTTTAAATCTCTCAAAGACAGCTGAGCATTTCAGTATTGTATGTCTATTAAGATTTATTGGAGGGCTTCATGTTTGTTTTGTGTTTTACATAATGTTCTGGGTCAAAACGTAGACATTTAATGCCACTTGAGTTATTTTCCAGGAAAAAAATTCCATACAGCTTTAGTTTTAAATGTGATATCTGAAGTGTTAAAAGGACCAACATGTGAAGCAAGATGGTCTTTAAAAGAATTAAAATGTCTTCCTTCAGCTGCTCAAACCAAGCTGTGAATAAACATTGCTACTGTTTGCTGAATTGACTAATCTCACTTAATAATACATAAAGAAAGTATATTGTATTTTTTTTTAAAGTTCAGACATCTTAATGACATTCAGTTTGGTCAGGAGCTGTAAATGTGATTCTGTTGGAGAGTTTACTTCAAGAGACACTTGAAGTAGAAAGAAATTGTGTCGAACATTTTTAGGAATGGGCAAGTGTTGTTGAACAATTTTTTTACATACATAACTTTTATACAAGGGAATAATCTTTTTGGCAAATTTGAACTTTAAAATATGTGCAAAAAGAACCTRTTACAGTAAATGAAGTTATTGTGCCTTCAGAACCTCAGGTAATCCCACTGAGAGGCTTTAAAACTTTGGTTTCCTTCTAACAAATGTTTATTTTATGAGTGGCTGAAACATTTTTTTTTTGTTATTAATTTCTTTTTCTTTTTTGTTGCACAAAATCCAATATGATAATCATTCAAATTCTGTTGTTGAGTGGGTTCTTGATGTTAATGGAGTTTCTGTGTGAAATCCAAATACTCTGCTGATTTACTGAAATATCCTGTGTGAGTCATAACGTCACTGATATTTTTGCTGTTGTTTTTATTCCAAATTATTATTAATTTTTTTTATATTTTTGCTCAATATGTTCAAGCTGTGGATGCTGAATGATGGTATGAATAAAATAAAACCTGTGAAGAATGAGGAAATGGCAGTGAAATTTATGGKTTTTTTTWAATTGCATGTTTTATGTTGTTTTATGTCCTATTTTTATTTATATAGTATTAAAAGTGAGGAAATTTATGTTTGGTAGATTATTCCTTTGTTGTAACAATGCTTCTTGGCATTAAATCATAATCGGAAAGCCTGTTAATTTCCCTTTTAAATGTAGTCACATTTGTAAGGAGCATGCATTTGTGGGATGAGCATCTGAGTATGTGGGTTCCATACATGAAATATTTGCCCAATTTTCTCTGCCAAACAGCTTATTTTGTTGTTGCCATTGACACTTGTTTTCAGCTTCTGGTGGCCCCAGGTGCTGCCAATAAGATGGCCAATATAAGATTTACCACTAAAAACCATTGAAATAATCTACCAAACACACATTTTCTTACTTTTGCTAAGTTTATAATCAAATTCAAAATGTGTTTAATTTAAAAAAAAAGCAAATACATGTTTCCCACTGGWATTTTCAATAACATTTTGCTAAAGAAACCAGATAAAACAAGGAGGCACTAAAACAGTGTTACACCTCATTTCCATGTGGAAAATCAAACAGATAGGTTGAAGTCCATTCTAAACGTATGTAATATAATGTTTGTGTCGTGATCTATGTGTTTCAGTCTTAAGTTGTCTGTTTTAAGTTTATTTTCATGTTTACTTCTTACGACCTGTTTTTATTTTCTTTGTGCCTTCCTGTGTTTCCAACCTTCCTCAGCACTTCTCTGTTGTTAGCCTTCACACCACGGTTATGCCCCGCCCACTTACACCTGTTCTCCGACATCATTTTGCCCAGGTGTCTCCACTCCACTCGTCATCACCCTATTCATCACTAAAATCCTCCAATTTTCACTTCACCTTTAGTCTGGCATTGCTTTCGAYTTAGGTGTTGTTTACRTTTGTGTTTTTCTTTCTGATGGTGCTGTGTCATCATTTTTGTTATTTTTTATTACCGTCTTTGTTAGTGCTTTTTCCAGCTTCTCATGTTTGTCTGCATTTCCGAGCCCAGCATCTRCTAACTGTCACAGTTTGCTTTATTTCTTGCGTGACAAATTATACTTAAAAAATTGGTTGGTAATTTACAGAAGAGGATTAGGGCCACTGAAAAATAAAGAAAGGAATTCTGTTATGATCGGTTGTTTGAGCTCTGAATAATTTCCGAACACTGACAACGGTTTAACAGTTTTATTG